GGTTCTTTGCTCGACGCTCGCTATTCTATCCTGAAGACATTTTAAGGTTGTTTTATTATTTTGACGACGGAAAATAAATTAGTTGGAATCATCTTTGCGAGTATGTAATTGAATTGATGAAACGGGCCAATCACCGGGGAGGAGAGCACGGTAGCAGCTGATCGCTGGACCCTTGCCAATGGCCGCCCGTCCCGTCGCTCTCTCGCTCCCGCCGACCCGGGCCGCGTGCGAGTGCGAGAGAGATGCCCTGCCCCGCGGGCCGACGGCGGTGGACGGTAGACGCACGGCGCCGCGGACATCGGCCCCACGCGCGGGCCACCGCCAGCAGCGAGGCACGCGGCCGAGGCGTGCCAGGTGCAGCAAGGAGGAGGGGCTGCGGCCAACCCTAACCTAACCCACTTCTAGCGCACACCAAGCCTACACTGCAAGGGGGTGCCGGCGGCAGCTCGTGGTAGTGCCCGCTGCCCGAGCACCACACCCTGGACACCTCTGCTGGATCCCATACATTGCTCCCGATTTCTTGCTTAGACCGCCCAGCAGCTAGGCCCTAAACTGCTGGGCACCTAAGACCTAAACCTACGTTATGCTTTCGCACTGCGCAGGAACTGCGCTACACAATGTGAAAAGTGCTGCTGCTCCAGGCTCCTGCAGCGGGCGGGGGCGGGGAGGCGGGGAACGCCTGGTGGGTGGGCAACCGTCGCGCAGCCGTGCGCTCCACGCTGCATGTTGCCTACCCCGCCGGGCGCTCTGCTCCGCCGCCGCGCTGCGCTGTGCTCAGTGCGCTGCGCTCAGTGGCTGGCGTCAATAACGACCCGCAGAACCCCGCGCACGGACTTGCGTGCATGCGCCGCCCGTCAAATCAGAGGCTCGGGGAGGAACAAACGGGGAGGGGGAGGGAGTAATTAGAATTCATCGCTCACACATGCGGGGCCGGGGAGGGGGAGGGAGGGGACAGAATGGCTATGGAGAATCCCCGGGCGGTGGCAGGGCGCAGGCAAGTGGAAGGGGGGAGGCAAGTCGAGTCTAATAATTTTCGATAACGACAGAGACAAAGCCACTTGTGCGTGCCTCCCCGCCCCGCCACGCCCCGCCCTCAATCGCCTTTCACTCACTCATGCATTCATTGCAGTTCAGCAGCGCCGATCTAATCAGAATGCCGCTGCCGCCGCCCGCCGTCTGGACAGAGATGCACAGATGTGTGGTGTTGTTTCTGCGTATGCTCGACCTCCCACCTCCTCTCCTAATCCTGAAACA